TGCACTCCTTCCTCTCAGCATTTCCATACGATTTTCTGAGTTTATACTCCTTCGTTCTGCATTGTTTTTAACTTCAAACAAAGCAACTGTAAGTGTGATTTGCTACCGAACTTTGTGTTCGCTGAAACACTGGGGTTTGAAGTACCGCTACACCAGTGTGTTATTCGTTCTATCCTGGGAGAAAATAATCCATTACCTTGGGTACTAGGAGGGGGTTAAATTCCTTAAGAAAACACTGTGAATTCAGTGGGCTCGAATTTATTATTGTTTCATTACGTTAACTTATATTTTGCAGAATTATTATTTACAAATACAGCAATATTGGCGGGAATAACATAAATTAGCTTTATTTGGTGCAGTTTGCAAAATTTATTCTTCTTTTTTATTTGTTGGATTTATAGTTGCTGAATTCAAGCTGCTCTGATTGTGGTGTGAAATTGACCCAATTTTTTTTTAAGATTAGACACTGAATGAATTTATTAGCCGAGTTCCTGTGTGGATGGATTCACTCCCTTTTTACAGTTTTACTCTGTTTTGCTTATTTTCTTTGGGTTTAAAGTAGCTTAATTTAGGTGTAGTTTTGCAAAATTTATGAATCTTTTTTCTTTTGGATTTATAATTGCTGAGTTAAAGCAGTGTGAAATTGACCAAAATTACTCTGAAGTGCTATTGTGATGCTTAATCCACCGTGTTGCTCTGTGAATTCACTTTGATTTTAAAGTTATTATTCTGTTTTGCGTTGCTTGGTGGAGTTTTAAAAAAAAAAAGATCTTTTGGATGCATACGTGCTGAATTTAACAATCAGATGCTATTGCGGTGTAAAGTTGACAGTAAATTTCTCTTTTTTAATGGGAAAGATTATCAAAATTTTCAAGCTTTGTTAGATCGAATTCTAGTAAGTTTCCGCCTTAAAAAATGTAGGGCTAAATTTTTTCTGGGAATTGGCATTACATGTCTTCTGATGGATTCTGACTGCTGTCCATCGGCAACGTAGTATTTCCAGCCGCATGAATTATGTCACAACTTAGGCCGTCGGAAATTCAAAAAATTTGAGTAGTCTATATTTTGGCAGCAATTCACCATTTGAACTTATAAAATATTCAAATGAGTATATGCTTATTTATATACGTGAAAGTTACAAGGAAAATATTTTATGCAATGCGGATGAGGACTTAGCCGAGCATCTCAAGGTGGGTTTCTACTCAATACTGTTGATTTAGCTTTTCATTCTATCTTTTATCAACCTCAACTTTCAGATGACACTGAAGAAAGAGCAAGAAGAAAAGGAACAAAAGAGAAAGGAGAAAGTAGAAGATCGTCTCTACACAATCATCAAGGTTTCTTTCAACTTTTTGTCTCTATGCGTTACTTCTTGTATCTTTATATTTAGGAAACGTTTTAACTGAAAATTTCTTTTCATGTTCAGGTAGCTCGTGATGAAGACCTCGCTGAACAAATTGGAAAGGAGATGTATTTTGATCTTGTGGATCATGATAAAGTGCATGCTTTTCATATTCAGAAACAGATGCCATTTACTCAATTCAAGGTACAATTATCACTCTGTTGCATTTTTCTCATAGATTTGAAAAGTTATAGCCATACTGTTCTTACCAAACATGATGAACAATTGTATGTACTGCATGAGAATGAATTCAGTTTGACCTTGTTTAATAAAGAGAGTCATGTGAAATCTGCATCTTCTACAACTTGAAATATGGAACGTAAATTTGTGTACTTCTGTTTTATATTGAGTTAAAAGATAAAACTTCAAATTCAGAGTTCTAATGTAGGTAAAATCGCAGAGAATAGAATAATCTTAAAAATTGAGAATTCTACTGGTTAGGATGTGAGGGTTCACAAAATTATTTCTTATGAATGTCATTGGTCAATCACTGATTCACCGTAAGTCTTAAGTATGGCATTTGTCTCATGGTACATCTGCTTCCAGGATGTAGTAGCTAAGGTATTTCGTATCCCGGTACAATTTCAACGTTACTGGCTATGGGCGAAACGTCAGAACCATACTTATCGGCCTGATCGTGCATTGACAGTTCAAGAGGAAGTTCAATCCGTAAGTTCTATCTGAAAATCTTATATTTCTGCAGTGTTCTCTTCGTTTGATTTATCCAGACCCCACTTGTGGGATTATACTGGATTTGTTGTTGTTGTTGCTCGTCGTCTGATTTATGACTGCAGTCTTACTGGTGATGTTCTTTGTACATTTCATGATTCATATTTAGTCTCCCACATAAAATTTGTTCTCCTTGGCTTATCCCATCACATGAAAGTAAAGAGGAATGATCTTAGTATGATATTCTTGTCGGTGGTGTGAAGCTATCGGCCATTACCAGACAATTCCATGTGTGATCTGCAAGCTATATGGGATAGTTTGATTCATTAATTTCTCGTTCTTGATATGTCTTCTACTGAAAAAAAGGCAATAGGTACGGTTAATCAAATTTGTATGTTTGCAAGAATAAAGAAAGTAATATAGTTAAGTGGACTCAACTCGGTACTTCTGATGAAAGATAGCACGTACCCGGTGGAATAGTCGAGGTTTGTGCAATCTAGAAAGGGGACCGCCATTATATAAAATAAAAAAAGCTACGTGGATTCCAATCCATTACGGAAATTGCAATCTTAACTCAGTTTCTTGAAATTTTTTATTATGAACTTGGCATCCCCCAATTTCGACTTGCTTAGAAAATAGATGTCTTCAGTTGCTAGTGAATATGATCAATTTTTTCTGATGATGTTTCACTGGTTACTGGTCCACAAGTCCATTGCTCCCTCTCTATCTCTCTGTTTCTGCCGCTAACTCCCTCCACCACACCTTCCAGACATGTTTTTTGATAGGACTCAGCGTCGGAACACCTCAGGCCCCCTTGAGAGTGATTTTCTTGAAGAGTGACAATTATGGAAATATTTCTTCTGTAGTCCATGGTTTCTTAAAAAAAAGTAGCCTGTGTTTTCTGCAGCTTGTTAAACAACGGGACCACTTGATCAACTCGGTGTTAATGGTCTTACATGATGTGTTCTCAGGTTGGTCAACTGAGAGAAGGAAATACTGCTGAGCTAAAACTGTTTCTGGAAGTAGAATTATGCCTGGTAATGCATCATTTTCCTACTTGTCTTCCCTTTTTGGTGATTCACATGTTGCATGTTTTCTTTGTGATGCCCTATTCTACATGTTTTACTTTTGCATTTTTGTTTATTTTGTGCATTCTTGCAGGATTTGCGACCTTTTCCTCCACCTGAGAAGACCAAGGAAGATATCCTTCTATTTTTCAAATTTTATGACCCTCTCAAAGAGAAGATAAGGTATTACATCTTGATTCTCTATTGATGGAATACTTTCATTAAAGTAATAATTGTCATGTTTGAACTTGGGATCTACTCATTTATTTTGACAAAGCACGACTACAAGCAATGTGCTTTGTTGTTTTACTTCTGTAGGTCGTCGTAGAGAATTGACTCCGACACTGTAGTTAGCACGAATGTACAATAAAAAGGGGTAAAAAGAAGCTAAGTCAAAGCTTTGGACTTGATGACACCATCATATTAATATTTTTAATTCAAAATTAATTCCCTCTGGTCCATATTAGTTGTCATGTTTCTATTTTACACGTTCTTTAAGAAACTATTAATAGAAGAGGTTTTTTACTACAATACCCTTACTTATATCTTTAGTCATTCAACATATTAATCTCTTTTCAATAAACATTCTCTTTATTTATGTGCCTTATCCACCAATAACAAATCTAAAATAAACTCACTTCGACATGTACAAGTCAGATGATGCATACGAAGACTTCACTGGCATAGAGTAGATAAACAGACATTTAGGAATAAACTAAATGAGAACACAACAACAACAATAACCCAGTATAATCTCACTAGTGGGGTCTGGAGAGGGTAGTGTGTACGCAGACCTTACCTCTATTGTTTCCAAGAGACCCTCGGCTCCCTGCCTCCAAGAACTCCCCACCTTGCTCTTGGGATGACTCGAACTCAAAACATCTTGGTTGGAAGTGGAGTGTGCTTACCACTAGAGCAAAATGAGAACACATTGGAAGAATAAATATAAAAAACACTAATCTGGCTTCAACATTGCACCCAAATGTTGAAAACTAAGCATGTAAATTGACCTTTTCTAAATTGAATTTCTATTGCACTCATAATCGTTTCCTCCAAAAGAAAATTCAAAATGACATATTGGAAAAAATTTCAACTTGAATTAAATGCATTCACAGGAGTAGTAATGGACTTGACTAAATGTTTTGGAAAACCAAGGTTTTTACAATCTTAACAATCATAACATTACTAACTTCTACTCTTCCATTTAAATTTCTATGCTAGTTTTTTACTTTCAAGGACATTCAATACTAAGGGCAAAATTGGGGGGAAGGGGAGGGGGGGATGATAAATTATACTACTTGGATTTTCTAAATTGATAATTTTGGACCAGATATATTTAGTAAGGAGGACAACTAATATGGATCGGAGGGAGTAATGAATTTGAAACTTGAAGTGCTGTTAAAGTCCAACTGTTTGGCGCTGCATATATGAGATGCCATGATATGGATATGGTTTCTCGTATTTCTCCATTTCATTTCCTTTTGTTGTCAGGTATGTCGGACGGCTTCTTGTAAAAGAAAGTGGCAAGCCGCTGGAAATATTAACAAAGATTAATGAATTGGTAGGCTTTTCGCCTGATGAAAAAATTGAACTTTTTGAGGTTAGTTTTCTTCTTCTCTTCCTACCATTTTGTTTCAACTCTTAGCATATGATATGTGATTTTTCAGATTTTGTTATTCTCAGGAAATAAAATTTGAACCCAACGTTATCTGTGAACACATTGATAGTAAGCGGAGTTTTCGTGACTGTGAGGTATGCACAATCAATTTCCAGTTGTTTGGGGTTTATATGCACTTGCTGGTGTAGTCAATTTATTTCAATAGTTTTTTTCTTTTTGTTTCTTCGGCTGGATGTATTAGCAAAGAAATTTATTATGCAATACTGGTCTGGCTTTGCAGATAGGAGATGGGGATATAATTTGCTTTCAGAAATCCCTTCAAAATCAATGCAGTGAACAATACCGCTTTCCTGAGGTTCCTTCATTTTTTGAGTACATGCACAATTTCCAGGTATGTGCTGCACTCTCCTATTGGAGGAGAGTAACGGAAGGGGGATAAGGGTTAGAGAGGAAAAAAGGAGGAAGAAAAGGTACTGGTCGGGGAGTTAATAAGACATACCTGGAAGCTAGTCATTGCAATTTAAAAACTTCCCTTCGGAAATCACTTATGTCGGTAAGACACCATGACTGGACGTAGGAAAATGCTAAATAATTAAATTGTTTATTATCTATACATTTCGGGACAGTGAAATTTAATAAATAATTCATTTATTTAGTAAATTTCATATGGCTAGCCGCCTGGAAAAGTAGCGCTAAAATTCTCTTGCGAACTGGCACAACATGTCTTCAGATTGATCCGATGGCTATTCATTGGCAACATAGTATTTCCAGCCGTATGAATTATATCAGATCTTAGGCCGTCGGAAATTCGATAACTTTTAGTAGTCTACAATTTGGCAACAATTCACCGTTCGATCTTGTAAAATATTCAAATGTGCATATGCTTGTTTATATACGTGAAAGTGACAAGGAAATTGTTATACACAATTTGGATGAAAAGGACATAGCCGAGCATCTCAGGGTGGGTTTCTACTACCAGGACTTAGATTGACTATCTACTTCTCAAAAAGTCTGATAGATGTCTGTGCGCGGACAACAAGGTCACCCCGAGTGAGAACTTCACGACCCAATATAGGGTCATGGATTTGGAGATTACGAGGAAGCGAAGAACGTGGGTTGCGTACGGTCTTCCTATGATCAAGTGGGGAGCTTTTATTAAGGTCAGAGCCCAGGAGTTGGGGGATAAGTTGTTGGCTATGGGAGCATGGAGGAGAAGCGGGGACGCGAGTGGTATGTGTACCGCAACTGCGAATTGCATTAGGGAGGTATTGGGGGTCTCGAAGGGCCCATCTGGTGGCCGCAAAGAGGATTAGAGGACTGGTGCTGGAGCAATGAGGTCCAAGGTAAAGTACAAGCCAAGAAAGTGGCTTATTTGATACATTTGGAGAGCATGGACAAGGAGGAAAAGAGGATGAACAAGGAGCGGTATAAGGTGGCTACGAAGGAAGCGAAGTTAGTAGTTACTGCGACTAAGACTGCAACGTTTGAGCGCTTGTATGAAGAACTTGGAGGCAAGGGAGGGGACAAGAAGCTGTACAGTTTAGCCAAGGTGCGAGAAAAGAAGGCCGTGACCTAGACCAAGTGAAGTGCGTCAAGGATGAGGAAGGTAGAGTGTTGTTGGACGAGGCTCTGATTTGACAGAGATGACAGACGCACTTCCATAAACTCCTGAACAAAAAGGGGGATAGGAATATTGTGCTGGGTGACTTAGAAAACTCCGAGAGTCGTCGGGACTTTGGGTATTGCTGGCGTATAAAAATTGAGAAGGTAGAGGAGGTTATGCGTAAGATGACCGGGCCAGACAAAATCCTGGTGGAATTTTGGAAGAACGTGGATAGGGCGGGCTTGGAATGGCTAACTGGGATATTCAATGTTATTTTTAGGACGAAGAAGATACCCGAAGAATGGAGATGGAGTCTGATGATCCCGTTGTATAAGAACAAGGATGATATCCAAAATTGCAACAATTATCGGGGTATCAAGCTACTGAGCCATATTGTGAAAGTATGGGAGAGGGTGGTGGAGCTGAGGGTGAGGAGGATTGTGTTTATTTCAGAGAACTAATTCGGATTTATGCCAGGGCGTTCGACTACAGAAGCTATTCACCTTGTTTAGGGGGTTGATGGAAAAGTATAAAGAGAGGAAGAGGGATTTACATATGGTGTCCATCGACTTAGAGAAGGCTTACGATAAAGTGTCGTGGAGATGTTTGGAGGCTAGAGGCGTTCTTGTTGCATACATTTGGGCTATTAAGGACATGTACGATGGTACTAAGACTCGAGTGAGGACTGTGGGAGGGGACTCAGAACACTTCCCGGTTGTGATGGGGATGCATTAGGGTTCAGTCCTCAGCCCATTTTTGTTTGCCCTGGTGATCGACGCACTGACGCGTCACATTCAAGGGAAGGTGTCGTGGTGCATGTTATTTGCAGATGACATTGTACTGATTGACGAGACATTGTGGTGTTAACGAGAGGTTAGAGGTATTGAGACAGACCCTAGAGTCTAAAGGTTTCAAGTTGAACAGGACCAAAATAAAATACTTGGAGTATAAGTTCAGTGGCGCGACTCAGGAAGTGGACGGAAACGTGAGACTTGATTCATAAGTCATCCTAGGAGAGAGTTTCAAGTACCTTGGGTATGCTATACAAGGGAATGAGGAGATCGACGAGGATGTCACACATCGTATTGGGGAGGGATGTATGAAATGGAGGCTCGTTTCCGGTGTTCTGTGTGATAAGAATGTGCCACCAAAAACTTAAAAGTAAGTTCTATAAAGCGGTGGTCAGACCGACTATGCTGTATGGGGTGGAATGTTGGCCAGTCAAGAACTCCCATGTCCAAAAGATGAAGGTGGGTGAGATGAGGATGTTGATGTGCGGGCATACCAGGTTAGATAAAAGTAAAAATAAAGTTATTAGAGACAAGGTGGGTGTGGCCCCTGTGGAGGACAAGATGCGAGAGGCGAGACTTTAGATGGTTCGGGCATGAGAAGAGGAGAGGCATTGATGCTCCGGTGAGGAGGTGTGAGAGGCTAGCATTTGAGGGCCAACGGATAGGTAGAGGCAGACCGAAGAAGTATTTGGAAGAGGTGATTAGGCAAGATATGGCGTTGCTCCAGCTTACTGAGGACATGACCATAGATATGAAAGTTTGGAGGTTATGAATAAAGGTAAAGGGCTAGCTAACCAAGTGTTGTCCTTGTTTGTAACAGTAGCTTTGATAGACCACTTGGTGTCTTTCGTGTTTTTTTTTTTTCGTATCCCTAGACTTTTGTTACTACTTGTTGTCTTTTGTTTCAGTTTCTGATTGCATTACCTATTGCTAGTTTTGTATTTTCGCTTCGGTTGTCACATCAGTTTGCTTGTTATTGCCCCTCTCCTTTTCCCTTCCTGAGCTGATGGTCTATCGGAAACAACCTATAAGAAGACAGGGGTTAGAAGACAGGGGTAAGGTGTGCGTACACTCTACCCTCCCTAGACTCCACTTGTGGGATTACACGGGTTATGTTGTTGTTTGTTTCTTTCTATTTGTTCAGTCAAAGTAATCTTTTATCAACCTCAAATTTCAGATAAAACTAAATAAAGAGCAAGAAGAACCGGAACAGAAGAAAAAGGAAAAAGCTCATCTCTACAAAATCATCAAGGTTTCTTTCATCCTTTTGTCTCTATCCTTTAGTTCTTGCGTCTTTATACTTCGGAAATGTTTAGCTGAAATTAGTCATTTCATTTTCAGGTAGCTCGTGATGAAGACCTCGGTGAACAGATCGGAAAGGAGATTTATTTTGATCTTGTGGATCATGATAAAGTGCACAGTTTTCGTATTCGGAAACAAATGCCTTTTACTCTATTCAAGGTACGTTTATCATTCCATTGCATTTCTTTTTCTTATAGATTTGAAAAGCCATATCCATACTGCTCTTTTCAAACATGCTGAGCAATTGTATATACTGCCTGAGAATCAATTCAGTTTGCCCTTGTTTAATAAAGAGGCGTCATGTGAAATTTGCTGGTTATACAACTCGAAATATGGAATGTAAACAACTGTACTTGTGTTTATATTGACTTAAAAGATAAAACATCAAACTATGAGTGTTATTGTAAGTAACAATTAAAGAAAATACAAACAATCATTAAAATTGAGAATGAGTAGTTCTCATGGTTAGGGTATGAGGGTTCACAAAATTATTTATGCTCTCTCAGGCACAAGATAAACATACTTCCTGTGATTGTCATTGGTCAATCACCATAAGTCTTAACTATGGCATGTGTCTGATGATACATCTGTTTCCAGGAGGAAGTTGCTAAGGAATTTGGTATACCGGTGCAATTTCAACGTTACTGGCTATGGACAAAACGCCAAAACCATTCATATCGTCCTAATCGTCCATTGACAGCTCAAGAAGAAATTCAATCCGTAAGTTCTGTCTGACAATCCTATTTTTCTGTAGTATTCTTGTGGTCTGAATTATCACTGCAGTTTTACTGGTGATGTTCTTTTTATATTTCATATTTGGTTTTCCACATAAAACAATTTCTCCTTGGATTATCCCATCACATGAGAAAAAGGAATGATCTTAGCATAATATTCTTGTCAGTCGTGTGAAGCTATAGGTCATTACCAGACAATTTCTTATATTTTCTGCAGCTAGATGGGACAGTTTGATTCATTAATTTCTTGTGCTTGATCTGTCTTCCACCGAAAAAAGAGGCTATACGTAAGGATAATCAATTTGTATGTTTGCAAGAATAAAGAAAGTAATATAGTTAAGTGGACTCAACCCGATACTTGTGCCGGAGAATAGTTGAGGTTTCCGCTAGCTGGCCAGGATACCATTGTCACAAAAAGAGTTATGTGGACTTCAATCCACTAAAGAATGTAATACTTATTGCAATCTTTACTCTGTTTCCTGAATTTTTTTATTATGAACTTCACATCCGCCAATATCGCTTTACTTAGCAAAATAGATATCTTCTGTTGCTAGTCAATTGGATCGATATTTCATGTTGGTTCATTCATTGCTCGTCCACAAGTCCATTGCTCCCTCTCTATCTCTTTGTATCCCCTTAACTCCTTCCTCCCCACCCCCACCACCCGTCATTTTTTTTATTGGACTAAGTATTGCAACCCCTCGGCCCCCTTGAGAGTGATTTTCTTGAAGCGTGACAATTATGTAGGGCATTATGATTATTTTTTCTGCCATTCTTCTGTAGTGCATGGTTTCTACCATGTTTTAAACGATGGTAGCACTTGATTAACTCAGTGTTAATGATCTTACATGATATGTTTTCAGGTTGATCAACTGAGAGAGGTTTCAGATAAACAGGATTGTGCTGAGCTAAAACTGTTTCTGGAAGTTGATTTATGCCTGGTAATGCATCACTTGCCTACTTGTCTTCTCTTTAGGCGATTCACATGTTGCATGTTTTCTCTGTGAGGCCTATCTACATGTTTTATGTTTGCGGTTTATTTTACTTTGTGCATTCTTGCAGGATTTACGACCTTTTGCTCCACCAGGGACGACCAAAGAAGAAATCCTTCTATTTTTTAAACTTTATGACCCTCTGAAAGAAAAGATAAGGTATTGTATCTTGCTTCTGGATAGTAGGAATTCTTTCATTTAAGTAGTGATTTTCATGTTTGAATTTGGGATCTCCTCATTTATTTTGAGAAAAAACGACTGCATGGGAAAGTGCTTTGTACTTTTACTCAATCTAGAGGTCTAAAACAGCATCATAGAGAATTGAATGTGACATAGAAAGAAGAAGAAGAAGAAGACCAGGTCAAAGCTTTGAACTTGATGAGGCTATCAAAATAGTAGGGTAATTTCAAAATTTAGGGCTTGTTTGGAAAGCCACCATGTAATTGGATTTGGATGTAATTGGGTGTAATTACACAATTTTGGCATGTTTGTCTGACCAACTAATTACTTGGTCAGCATGTAATTGGTTGTAATTGAGGGGGGCGTTATTACACTCTGCAGTTCTCGAGGGGAGCTGAGAATTGCTGGTAATTACATGGTATAACTACCCATGTAATTACCAGATTATTTTTTGAATCTCTTTCTTTTCTTTTTAATTTACTTTATATTTCTATTATTTTTTTTAATCTTTTAAATTATTTTTTTATATTTTCTTATTTCCCATTTTCCAACATTTACTTTATGTGTTTCTACATAATTTCTCATATTCTTTTTAAAGTATTTTTCTTTATTTTTTTTATTATACTTAACTATGTTATAATTCTATTTTTTCTAAAAAACAATTACCTCGTAATCTTAGAAAGAATAAGTCATCCACAAACTTGAATTATAATGAGTGATGTCATTAATGTTGAACTTTGTTATTGGATTGGGTTATATGCAAACTTAACTATGTTAAAATGATAGATTGCTTTTTAATATTTCTAGTTTTGAAACTCCTCTTAATATTAGAAATTATAACATCATTAATAAACTTAGCATATAACGAGTGATGTCATTAAAGTAGAATCTCATTGTTGAATGAGGTTATAGACTTATGTTTTCCTTTTCTTTTGAATTATATTTACTTAAATTTATATAATATTAGTACAAATATATGATTAGTAATTAATATATTTTCCAGAAACAATATCTATCTTAAATGTCAAATTTAACATTATTTATAAAAGCATATATTTGTTAAATCTTAACTTTTAATTTTTGACAATTAACTTTATATTTAAAATTTAATCTAACTGCGTAATTACACTTGTGCAACCAAACACTACACTTGTAATTACACTATGACAAACAAACAGGTTGTCGTAATTATAATATTGTGTAATTACTACCATAGTAATTACACCAATTCCAATTACTTGGTGGCTTTCCAAACAGACTCTAATTTGAAACATGAAATGCTTTTAAAGTCCAACTTCTTGGACCTGCATATGTGAAAAGCCATGCTTTAGATGATGCTCTTTTGGTCTTTCTCCCTTTCCTTTCCTTTTTGTTGTCAGGTATGTTGGACGGCTTTTTGTAAAAGAAAGTGGCACGCCATTGGAGATATTAACGAAGTTAAATGAGTTGGCTGGCTTTTCGCCTGATGAAGAAATTGAACTTTTTGAGGTTAGTTTTCTTTTATCTCGCTACCAGTTTTTTAACTCTTTAACATATGATATGTGATTTTTCAGGTTTTGTTTAATCTCAGGAAATAAAATTTGAACCCAATGTGATGTGCGAACACATTGACAGTAATCTGAGTTTTCGCGATAGTCAGGTATATGCAATCAAGCCAGTTGCCACCTTGGGATTTGATGGCGTGGTCAATTTCCTTCAATAGTTTTTTCTTTTTGTTTCTTGATTTATTTGCAATGAAAATAGTGTGCAATACTACTCATGTTTTGCAGCTTGGAGATGGGGATATTATTTGCTTTCAGAAATCCCTTCGAAATCAAGACAGTGACCAATATCGCTTTCCTGAGGTTCCTTTGTTTTTGGAGTACGTGTACGATCTCCAGGTATGTGCTATTGTGTTGCACGCTATTATTCCGATATAGTTCCCTGGAATATGAAAGATTGTTGCAGTACTGCAATAGATTTTGACGATGGCTATATCTTAATCACAAGGCATTAGGCATACGACAGCAGAATTGACACAAAGTAAAGGCAGCAAGAAGTATAAGCAATCCATGCCAATGTCTGATAATTATGTGGGAGGGGTGGGGGGTTCAAAGATAAGGGTTTAAAAGTATTCTTTTTTCAATGTCATATGAAATTGATAGATCAATTGTTTATTTTTATCAGTGCTGATAAGGGTTTAAAAGTAGTCTTTTTTGAAGTTCATATGAAAATGATAGATCAATCGTCTATTTTTATCAATGCTAATACATCACACTTGAAAGTCATAGGTGGATCCAAGGTTTTATATGTATGGATTTCTGTAACGACCTCGGGTAAATTTTCATTAGTAACTTGGTTCACATTCAAACATTTATAGATATTTAGTGAATTTTTGGAATAAATTTACACTGTTTTGACAAAAGCTATTGTGTTCACGTGAATCCGTAAGTCGCAAGCTGGATCCGCCCCTGTTGAAAGTTGATTAAAAAAAAAAATACGTGGAGAAGAGAATATCTGAGTCTATTTAAGGAAATTCAAGGTCAGATCATTTGAGTTATAATTGTCCCAGCAATAAACACTCGTTGCTTGTTCGTCCACAATACAACCATCCAACAACATGAGGTGATTCAAACAAACCCTAGAATAGGTGTTAAGTTTATACTTCTTGCGTTTCAATTTAGATGATATACTTTGATTTGGCACAAAGTTTAAGGAAAAAAAAGGAGACTTGAACCATATGGTCCCAAAAGCTTAAGGGGTAATGCATTCGTGTGACTATAAAAGCTTCTTATTATGGGTAAAATGAAAAGTTTAAATAAAGTTAAATTGTTTCCAAATATATAAATGTGTTATTCTATTTGGAACAGATTAATAAGGAAAGTATATCATTTAAACTGAAACGGGTGGAGTATTTAATTTCCAACTCAGGAACACTTCCCTAATCTCTTCATTTTTTACTCGGTGCTCTAATATTGTTCATGATTGCAGGTTATTAAAGACAGATTCCCTCGAATCCAATCCTTAGAGACGTACTTTCAGGGAAGGAAATGAAGTTGCTGACTCTCTTGAAGGAATGAACCGAGCCAAATTTCAACATGTTTGTTTATATGCTATTTCCACCATTATGATCTACTTCTCATATGAGGATAGAGAAGGATGGAACAAACTTTCCTAAATTTTTATCAGCGACGGCTTGTAACTATTTGGCCTGTCTTGGTAATTTAAGTGCTAGTAATAGCACTATGACTATAACGACAATTACTAATATTATTTATGTGATTTTTAAAATCAAATATAAAGCTTGTGTCAAAGCTTTTGGGTTTTCCTAATCTCAATTGAGTCTTGCCCCGGTAAGGTTTGACTTTTTATGTAAACGTCATGTGTTGCTAAGACGTGGAGATGTTCGTCTAGGGTAATACTGTTACTGAAGTGAAATAAGGCCTTTCCATTATTTTTGCCTTATTGTTCCGATAAAACCTTAACTTTGCAAGTCAATGTATGTTAGCACTCCTTAATCTTGTAGTATTTTAAATTGGTAGAATAGCCTAAATGACATTTATACTTGTGTCACTTTGTCCCTTCGATTTTGATCCTCAAACACAAATGTTTATCGCATTTTCAAGTCTAAATTTCAATACCCAGCTGAGTTTTAGTACTAGGTAAGCAACAACTTGAGGTTTCAAACCACTAGATTCGTTCTTCGCAAGACAAGCAATGGAGTTTCGAAAATTCTCAACAAACAAGCCTTTGAATCTCCTCTTCAAAATTCGAATAAAGATCCAAATAGCGAAATACGATAACAATAACCAAAACAAATCTTTGTCAACCTAAAGAGTCGTCGGAATCAGTGACACTACTACCACGGCTAGGATACTGGAGCAACGTTGTAGGAGGAACGAAACTCCTTGTAACCCTAATCAGTTGGGTTTTGATTAAACAGGAAAAAAAATAAAAAAATGTAAAAGATTCTTTTGTTAAAGAAATAGAGAAAAATAGTATATTCCTGCTTGATATTGTGATTTTGAAGGCTCATCCATTGTTTATAGTAGTGTGTAGGGGAAAAGAGTGAAGGGGAAAGAGGGATTGGGGGCGAGAAGAAAGGTGGGATTTTGTGCATGATTTTAGTTTAATTCATTTTTAATCAAAATCACTAGTATCACTCTCTTTATACGCACGTGCTACACATAATTTGTCCACCTCAGCTATGTCAATGCCACATAAGCTCGGTCAATGGTCAGAGGAATTTAGAAAATTAGATTTGAACGAGTGTAAGTGTTCAATTGACAAAATAATAAGTTTGGTGACCGATATAACAAAGTGTCACAAATATAAATGTTATTTAGGCTATTCTTCCTTTTAAATTTACTAGAGTTCGAAACTCAACGTCAAAAAATATTAACTAAAAATAAATGCTTTTTGGATTTCAGTTACTCTCATTTGTGAGCGAAAATAAAACCACCATGCTTGCCACAAAGGGAAAGTTCCAAACTCTATTTTGAAAATTGTCTAAATAAGCAAGCATGCAGCAACTGAATTTAACACAAAGTAGAAGAGCGGGACACATAAATTAATGCCAATATATATGTGGTATATTGAGGGGTAAAATTGATAGAAATGTTGTAGTTGACAGGTGGTTAAGCTTCTTTTTTTTATGAGTATTTGTTTTAGTCCAAGTTTACATGAAAATGAAAAATCTATCGCATAATGAGATAATGAAAAATTATTTCATCTTTTTAATTGGAAGTTGAAGTCCTTTACGACTATACTATAAAGCATAGAGGAGTGTTCACCTTTGGAAACTTTCCCGGGTAAAATGCAAATTTTTCAGGGAAGTTTCCCATAGATATATTATCGGTGGCAGTTCCCGCTGCAATTTAGAAAAATTCGGTAGAAAATGAAAGAGTTTTCTTTTACCTTTTTTTGAAACGTTCCCACAGACTATAGGTGTGAATTATTTGGCGCAAAAAAACGTGCGATTTGTTTTCCACTGAATCAGTAAAAAATACATTAAAAAAATTACTATATAAAATAATTAACTTTTTTCAGTGAAACGGTGAGAATTTAAAGATAAAAAAAAAATTTAATATTCTCATAGATGCGGTGGGAAATGAAAGGGTTTTCTTTTACCTTTTTTTTTTAAAACGTTTCTACAGACTATATGTGGGAATTATTTGGTGCAAAAAAGCATGTAATTTGTTTTCCACCGAATCTAAAGATAAATAATTATTTTAATGTTCCCCCAGATGTAGTGAAAAATTCAAAATTTTGAAATTTAAATTTTGGTCCAAATAACTAGCGAGGTTAAAAAAAAATTCACAAAAGAAAAATAAATTTAATAAGATAATTCCCACAAATATTCCAGGTGAATCAGCGGGAATATCTTTCCTATTATAGTACATCCCTTCTTCTTTCTTTTCATTTTCACCTTCATTCTCTTCTTTGCAAATCCTCCATTCTTGTCCAAGGAGCTTTCACTCATGTAAAATCAAAGGTAATATCATATTCACTCATGTAAAATTAAAGGTTAGAGGATTATTATTAGATTTTGAACTCGATTTAGCTTTATGAAGCCTGAAAACTTTTCCTTTCATATAATAGTTGTAACTTTTTTGCATAATACTTTCAAACAATCGTTGGAGGAGTTCATTGAAAGCCAACCAACCGATGATCAAGGGAAGCCAATCCAACCATCCCAGGAGAGTTATATGGACCTACGGAATTTCAAACAATCGTTGGAGGAGTTCATTCAATTGGATAAGATTGAATGCTGATTTTTTATTTGAGTGTTTAGTTGCATTATTGGTTTATTGTATTTTCTGTTTTGGTTGGATGTTTATGAAATGGATCAGAATCAATGCTGAATTTTGTATGTGAATGTTTAATTGTATTTAGACTTGTTGGTGGTAGTTGTATTTTTTGTTTGGTAAGTGGTGCAGTATAAAAAATAGCACAGTGCACAAATATATTTTTCGGACTTCTCACTGAATTCGTGAGAAGGTTCGTCCTTTTAGTTATAGATCTTGCATGATTCTCACTGATATCGGTGGGAAAGTTCATACTTTTGTTTTTATTACATGCATTTTTCCCACCACTTTCCTGGCTAATATATTAAAAATAATAAAAATTACTAATAATACTTCCCACGGATTGTTGGTGGGAAATTTCATTATTTTTCCTATTAAATCTTCGCTAGGAAAACCGTGGAAAACTTCCCACTACTTCTCTGGGGAGTTTTTTCCAACCAGGCTTTTTCTGGGTGATCCGTTTCGGTGGGAATATAGTGTGAAAACTCAATTTTCTCACTAATTTTCCAGTGATGTTGCCGAGGGAAAACCATGTGCTTCTAGTAGTTGTTGTTAACAGTACAAAATATAGTTGGAAAATGTTAAGTAAGGCAATTTTTACGATAAGGTGCAAAAATCTCACTTTTGTTAAAAATTAGTAATTGGTCCATTAATAATACTCTACTTGTCATCCTATGATACAATAGTCCGACATCAAGTATATTCAAATAAGCTTCAGATAAGGTGTTAAGTCTAGATTTCCAACATATCATTACCTTCGTTTAACGAACGAAAATATTTTTTTTATGACTACTGTTTATCCGGAAAATCGGATAAAGTTAAATTTGAGTATGGTTCTAAAGATATGTGATATAATTTGATACAAACCGTATAGAAAAATAGTAATATCTAAGTTCTTGATTATGGGAATGAGAATAATGAGCAAGAAGAATGGATAAGATAAAATGAAACGAGCACAAGGGGATATCTTTCAATATGAGAAGTGATCTTTTATTACAGAGTGTCCTGCTTGCTTACAATCCATGTCCCTCTTATAGTAGAGGAATCCTACTTTATATACAATAAAAAATACGCAGTGGAGAGCCCATGGTGTATTATCTTTTCCTCGATTTCCGCCAAGATTCTCTCCCATAGTGCGGTTGCAACGGCCCTAGTCTGTGAGCTCGATACTGGCTCGAGCTCGGTATTGGATCGAGTCCTCGGTCTTGGTCCGAGCTCGATTCTAACTTGGGGTCTCGGTATTCGGGGTGAGTGTTGGTCGGTCCATGCATCTTCGATAATCTCCGCTTTGCCTCGTAGTTCGATTTGGATATGAGCTTGATAATGATATCGAGCTTGTCATTGATCGGTCTTAGAACTCGAAGCTCGCCGCCCTTACTTCGGACCTTGACCGAGCTTGTCATGCAGATATCTTTTGATCGAAACATTATCGTCTCGACCAGTCCGTACGACATACTCAAATCGATTTTGACCGTACACAGATAGTCCCCTCGTTTCTCGGAAAAGGATGTGGTGAGAAACGATATGATTTCTCAACAGCTCGATCAGATATATACTGACGTTTTCATCGATCCCGACCATGACGTATGTGATTGTTGTCCCATCGGTTAGGTTTTACCGAGGCATTTAATGTGTCAGACGGTAGTCGGCCACCTCTGATATTGAACCGTCATTGCTTCAATCTATAAATAGCCTTTTATTCCACCATTCATCATTTTTACATCTTCAATCTTCCAAATTTTTCAAGTTCCTTTTCGTCTTTTCTAAGTTTTCTGCCTGTAAACTTGTGAGTTTTACTGCAAACTCTTCCTTAGAACACCAAAAACTTCTATTCTTTGTTTACGAAATTTTAAATGGCAAAAACGTCTAAAACTGTTCCGCAAAAAGAGACCGCTTCTTCATCTCGACCTGCTGGTGGCGAGGATGTGGAAGAGCCCCGCCCTGAGGAATTCGTTCCGGTTGGGTGTTCGACCGTATGCGATTTTAAAATTGAAAAGCCTTCTCCGAGACCGGGTCGGTGTGAGCCGATGTTGAGGTACCAATGTTCAATCACCGAAAATGTTCTTGATAAAGTCATACAAGAATGCAACTGGGATAATAAACTCGTAGTAATCCCATCGCCCGATGAATCAATTACTACATACATCGAAGGGTTCTTAAGTGTTTATACTCATCCTTTTATGTTGGGACCCCTAGACCCTATCATCGTTGCCTTTTGTAAAAGGTACGATGTGACCATCGGCCTAATCCACCCTTCCTTTGGGAGGATAGTGATTCTTCTTCGATTTTTCTCGAGTAAGGTCGAGGGACGTATCTTTACCCTCGATCATCTTATGCGTCTTTATAGTCCCCAACTTTATCGATGAGGGCTGATCAAGCTTGCTCGCCGAGCAACCAAAGCGCCATTCTCGAGAATAGACGAGACCCGGGATTGGGGTTGGATGGGCCGCTTTGTTCGAATCAGAACCTCAGATCTGATCACTGCCGATGTCTTTCCATTTCCCGAGAAATGGAATATGAGCCGT